GTCTCTCTCTTCTCTCTCTCTCTCTCTCTCTCTCTCTCTCTCTCTCTCTCTCTCTCTCTCTCATCTCCCCGATCCCCTGCTATATCCTCTCTCCTGATGATTCTAAAAGCCAATCACGGCTTGAGAGGTCAACCAAAGGAGTTGGCTTGCCTACCAGTGTGGAACGGGAGAGAGGGTCCCAGAAACCACGGCGCTATTTTTCTCCTGGTGAAAGTAGAAAAACTTCTGAGAGATTTAGAACTCAACCTATAACCTCAGCAGAACGAAAGGAATCAGATAGGTAGGCACATGTCTGTCTAGGAACTTAACTCATACAGGATTTTCATCACAGGGATGATGCTGATGCTGTTTAAATGGGATGTGATGATTCCTTAGTTCTTCCATCTAATCGATAAGGGATATTTACTTGGTTTATATAAATGTATTTTTAAATTATGTTGTCCTTGACAACAGAATCCCAAGATACTGTTTTAAATTGCACTCAAACTATAAGAAGAAAAATTTTTCTTCATTTAATGTTTTTAATTTTTTATGTCCTTGTTAAGTTAGAATCCAAGTGGAGTATTCACCATATTTTAAAATAACTGAGGAATATTCATTTATAAAATGTCTGCCTGCTTGTTTTATTTGAGTTTTATATTATCACTTGATTATCCCTGGAAATGATAAGGTTTGTCTAAAAAATTACCATCGGTCATGTTAAATAAGTCACATTTGCTTCTGATTTGTCTCCACAAGGTGTCCACTTGGCTGGGCTGTGTGCACATGCACTCCATGGTGTCTGTTAACTGTACATATATATTCACAACTACAATTACTATCAGGATGATATTCTTTAAGAAATTTTAATTGTATTTTTATTTTTATAATAATTTATATGGACCTTCTACTCCCACCAGCTAATTTTTTATTATTACTTGTTAATGTCTTTCCTAGGTCTACTTCAAATTCAGAAATGCCAACTGCTGAGGGCAAGTATCTGTTTTCCTTTTGCTTCTTTATCATCTCCCCCGGATTAGATTTAAATATGATTTTTGCTTTTTTGAGAATGAGATTATCATGCATACCTATTTCTTACTCTTTTGCAGGCATTCTTTCTGTCAATATAACAAAACCTAGTTTGGGTTTTCAGAGGATCTTTCTGTTATCTTTGAGAGAGTTAGAAAATTGATGAGTCAGCAATAATAAAACAACTGATTTGCTCCAAATAAGTAGGTTTCTTGCTATTGCTGCTACTGCTATTGAATAATAAGGAGGAGACATTCTTTCCCCTAAAAAACTATTATTAAATCTCAACTTGTCAAATAGAACAATAGAGAATTACTATCCAGACAAAATTTTGTTTGGTTAATTACAATGGAAGTGAGCACCTTTTCACTGAGCAGAATAGGCTCCCTGCAAAGGGGAAATACTGCCAACTGTAATTTTTGGTACTTCCATTCTTATATTCAAAGGGTTTCCAGGTCAGCCTTGAGGAACTTTTTAGACTCTTTACATGCATTTTTTTAATGATGTCTAGTATTTATTTTATGGCTTTTTACTTACAGATGAAGAAAAGGTAGATGAACGAGCCAAACTGAGTGTTGCTGCCAAGAGGCTGCTTTTCCGGGTAAGATGTGCTGAAGCGTTTGAGTAGCAACTGCCCCCGTCCTGAGGGAGGCATCCACTGTGTCCTGCACCTGGGCCCTCTGTGGCTCACCTCTCTTCAGATCCTTGACTGATGTGACCACCCGCTGACACAGCACAAATGTTCATTTCCAATACTGATTCAAACCTCTTGGGTATTTCCCCGGGTAGGGGAACAAGGTAGAAACATTTTGCTGCCCCAATTTCCTTTTCTCGAATTCATGAGGATTCCACAATGTTTCTGATCTCAGGAAATGGAAAAGTCATTTGATGAGAAAAATGTTCCAAAGCGAGGTTCGAGAAACGCGGCCGTGGAGCAGAGGCTGCGGCGTCTGCAGGACAGATCCCACACCCAGCCCGTGACCTCCGAGGAGGTGGTCATGGCAGCCACGTGAGTCTCCCCTCTGCCTTTTGGCCTTGGCTGTAATGTCTTCTTTTTAAAAGACATTTGAAGACTAATAAAGAAAACGAGGTGATTGGGAGATGGTTTAGTTAGAAGCCATCGAGAAGTAAGTGTTTAGGAATTTTTCTTACTGGGATCTCTCTGAACCTCATACTGGGATGTGTTATCTATTGTATCTACTAGAAAAACATGAAGAGGAATTTTGTTTAATTTTTTTTTGTCTCTGCATTTTTTAACTCTTTTACAATGGAAAATTTACAAAATGAAAGTAAATATATTAATATAATGAACCCTATGTACTTATCACCCAGTTTCAACAGTCAGTCATCAACTCCTGCTGTACCTACAGTATATTCCCATCCACTTCCCCTTTTCTCTTGCATTATTTTCAAGCAAACCCAAGATATCATTTCTCCCACTAATATTTGTGTATATATCTCAAAAAGTGAAGGATTCTTTTTGTTTTTATATAATCAAAATTTAAAAAATTAACTGGAAGTTTGATAACCCTTTAAACAATATGAAGTAATTTTTGAGCACTGTGTTCTAATATGTTCAGAATGGATTTCCCAAATTCATTCATTCATTCATTCATTCAGGGATAATCACTTCCATCAAGTAAAAACTTTTATTGGTTGTTGTTGTTTTTTGTTGTTGTTATTAATCCTCACCTGAGGATATTTTTTCCATTGATTTTTAGAGAGAGTAGGAGGAATGGAGGAAGTGGGTGAGAGAGAGAAACATCGATGTGAGAGAGACACATTGATTGGTTGCCTCCCTCAGGAGCCTGGCTAGGGTTGGGGATTGAGTTTGCAACCCAGGTACATGCCCTTGACTGGGAATTGAACCCTTAATCTTCAGTGCATGGGCTGGTGCTCTAACCAGTGAGCACACTGGCCAGGGCTACTTTTATTAGTTTTTAGAAAATTGTTTTTGTGCTTCTCTTGGACACACACACACACACACACACACACACAAATCAAAAGGCAAGACTATTTTGCCAATGCTTTTTGAAAAAATGGAGTGCCTCTCACTCCTGTGAACCTGCTGTTTGGTCAGCTGCCTTCACTTCTTTCCTTAGCTATTGCTCAACATTTTGGTATATTTGTGGATAAATACATCCTATACCCATGAGGAACTCTTAGCAAATCAGTTTCTTTTCAATTTAAATTTTATTTTTTAATATCTGAGTGGCCATATAAACACAAAACATCTACCCATGGAAGCAAAATGGTAAATAAGCAAAAATTATTACCATGTAAGGCTCACTGAGTCTACTTTGATGTGCCCATAGATTATATGAGGACACTGATTCTTTTAAAAAATACAGATTGAGAAAAACATTTTAAAAATGGGTATAATCTACTGATATCCTGGTGGTTGACATTAGTTTTCTTTTAAATTACTTTTTTAAGCCAGTTCATTTCTTCTAAAGATAGCCTATTCTCATTCCATTTACTTTGAGTAGTCTCTGTCTGTTATTTTCTAAGTTTGTTATTGCTTTTCAAGTTCTTTAGTGGTTTTCCCAAAGTAATGAATAAATAATTCTTAAAAAAATATTTGATTTCACATTTCTGGATGGAAAACTATGCTTTCCTTAATGCTTCTTTTCTTCTCTCTCCTTATGAATTTTCCTTCTTTGGCAATTGCTTTAAAGTGAACCTCTCCCTGCTTCGTGCTCTGTGGCCACCCACCCTGTATTGACAAGACTTCCTAGTCCCACTGTAGCTAAGAGCACTGTGCAGCCTGCCAGGTACTGGACAGCAATAGCAGCATGTGGCCTGAGGGCAAAGGTGGTAGACTACAGACGAGTCTGAAAATCTTGAATGGCTTTCATTTCTTTGACAACAAGTTAGTGCAATGAGTTGTTCCAGGAATGTTTTGTCATAGTTCAAGACACTGATAGCTTCATGTAGGCCTGCATGAGGAAACATCTCATCTATCTGCATCCATGATGTGTTGGAACAAGGATCACACTAATTCACTTATCCATTTGCTTTGTTTCTGTTTTTCATAAACATAGCCATCCCTAAGAAATGTCATTCTTCAATATAAAGTACTAGCACTTAATAAAGATTAATAGAAAATGGGAGTTAATGTGAATGTTGAAATTCTGATAATACTCAGGATTTTAAAAAAAAAAAACATGTAGACACAAATAGGTGTTAAAAACAATCCTATCTGTTTCTAATTATAGACAATGCCTTTATATTTGGGAATTAGGATATTAAGAATTTATAGTGTCTGAAAGATGTTTCATTATCATGTTTTAAAATTATGTCCTTAACGTATGTAAATAGCCCTTTTATTTTGCTATTATGGGCCAAAATACAAAGGCTAAAAATAAGACTAAAAGAAATAAAAGCTGGCACAGCCCAGAACCTGAGACCTCACTTGGGAAGGAGGTTGAGGTTGCCCTCCCAGTTCACCTGTTGACCTCAGGAAAGACACCAAGACAGGGTGCCTATTGCCATCTTGATTAGTGTTTTGGAACACTGACACTGCTCTTTTGTCTGGGACAACATGTGCAGTGGTAATTAATTGGAGTCAAGGCAGAATATACTATTTACTGGACTGAGAATTGGATTTGCCAGTGGCAGAGGGGGCTTGTCTTAAACCTTTAGGGAGTCACCATGGCCATGTAACTGGAAGTCTTCTCTGCCTGAGAGCCAGAAGGACTTTCCATTGTCTGAAATTTCCTTAATGTTTCAAGTTACTGGGAATTACAGACTTTTTCCCGCTGGAGAGTTTTTGTGTTTTTAATCTCTAATGTCTAATTATAAAAATACCCATTCACTATAAAATTTCAGCCAGTACAGAAGTACATAAAGTAGAACACAAGAGTCCTATCAGCCAATGATTTAAACCTATGAGAGAAAGTGCTAGCAGTGGTTCTCAACCTTGGCTGCACATTAGAATCACCTGGGAATCTTTTTAAAATCCTGATTTCTGGGCCTCATCCTCCGGAAATTCTGTTTCTTTGTTACTAATGTTGTGGCCCCACCCCATAACAAAGAAACAGAATTTCCGGAGGGTGAGGCTCAGAAATCAGGATTTTAAAAAGATTCCCAGGTGATTCTAATGTGCAGCCAAGGTTGAGAACCACTGACCTAGAAGCAGGAGTGAAAGAATCTTAAAATTAAGCCATTTGTGTTTAACAAGTGAAAATCAAAACCCTGTGTTGTGGATAATGTTGTGGACAGCATGATTATTCTATTTGCTAATTATTTTAAATGAAAAGACCATCTTATGAACCACATATCAAGATAAGGTCTAAATATGCCACAGCTGATGCCTTAAGGTTCCTTTTAGCCTTATTTATTATTGATATTAACAATACAAGTTTTTTTCTCAAAAATAAGGTATGTCCAAGCTGACCTCCATTTCTTAAAACAGGAAATTCAATTTTTAGAGATAATTCAGAGCTAAAAATCTGCCCTTTGTGAAATTGACAAAGCTAGTGTACCCCAACTGCTCTGCTTTTAAGGTCTCCTTTAATAGCCAAACAACTGCCTGCACCTGTCTTAAATGTAGCTGGGCAAAAATAAAGCCCTTTTCAAAACTGACACTTGAAAGAAAGTTAACATATAAAATTAGCAGTGGGCTTGTGTCTGTTTTCACTTGTGTTACTGACTTTTTTTCCCTTTCAGATTGCAGGCATCTGCTCACCAAAAGGCTTTAGCCAGAGACCAGGCAAATGAGGGCAAAGATTCTGCTGAACAAGGTGAACCTGATTCCTCCACACTAAGCTTGGCAGAGAAGTTGGCCTTGTTTAACAAATTGTCCCAGCCAGTCTCAAAGGCTATTTCTACCCGAAACAGAATAGACACGAGACAGAGGAGAATGAATGCTCGCTATCAAACTCAGCCGGTAACGCTTGGAGAGGTGGAACAGGTGGGTACACTGTCATCAAATTACAGTTTTCTTGTATGTTCTTAAACTATAGGAGCACCGGTATCTCAGGTTAGTGATATAATGAAGGTGGTGTACCTGTACACTGTGTTACTTGTAGATGACTTGGTAATGTCTTCATTCCTAAGAAAGTCACCATGTCAAGTATGTTTCTCTTTACTTGTTTTTGTAATTTGCTTGCTGAAATCATCTGGATTGTTCCTGTTTGGGAGAGAAAAATAGGACACCCAGTCTGCTTTTCACCCAGATGATTTGATTAATGAGATGCAGTGTGTAACTGTGGCTAGCTTTGGTTTCCCACAAGTCAAGCAGTAAAACTGCACCAAATGTAGTATTTCAGTAGGTCAATCCATACATAGGGGTTTACATAGAAATTATTTTTAAATCAGCTTTTCCCTTTTTCACTCTGTCCTCCCAGGTACAAAGTGGAAAGCTCATTCCTTTCTCGCCCACTGTTAATACTTCTGTGTCCACCATGGCATCTACAATCACTCCTATGTACGCAGGGGACCTTAGGACAAAGCCATCCATGGATGACAACACAAGTGTCACTGCCTATAAGTTTCCTTCTTCAATAGAAAATGTAGAGTCTTCGATTAGAAGCACTCTGAAGCCCCAATCCTGTCAGCCTTCAGTAGAGGGCAGTGGGAGCAAAGGTATGTTTAGAGATTATGGAGAAACGGAAAGCAGGAGAGTCTTGACAGGTAGAGATGGTGGTGTTAAAAACGGATCCTTTGAGGAAGCAGAGCCATCCTACCCTATCCTCAATTCAGTCCAGAAAGGAGACAGCCATAAAGAACCTAAATATGATGTTCTGAGAAAAGGAAGCCTAGAGCTACCAAATGCCCCTGTCTCCCACCCTGGCGATGAGGAGTTTTCCACTGCCAAAAGCACCATACAAGAGAACCCAGACTTGAAGGGCAGGCAGCCCTTTGAAGAGAAGGTGGACATGGAGAATGTCACAAAGAGGAAGTTTTCGCTGAGAGGTAAGTTGCTACTGCTCCTAAAGTTGGAGAAACCGACTGGGCTTTTAGTTTCTGATGGATTGTTTGCATGTATTTATGATTGTTTCTAATTAAATTATAAAGGCACTTTATAACTAGCTGATTAAAATTTTACTGTGGGTCCTACTCTTCCCCAGACTTTTCTTCCTCTTGAATTTCACTTATTTGGTGGATTATAAATTTGTCAGCAATAAAAATACCTGAAGCTCTTGCACACATCTTGATAAGGGTATTTGACATCTTTGGTCACCTTAAAACACATAACAGCCTTGTCAACTGCTAGCTCTGTTGGCCCCTTTTATGAGTTGATGACCCCAAATGTCCAGGGCTGGGCAAGTGCAGGGGAGCAGGATTTGAACCCAGGCCGTGGATTTCCAGGCTCTTCTGCCTTCCTCGTATGTAGGCTAGCAAGCTCTTTTTACAAGGTACTTTCTCTTTTTTCATTTACATAAAATGATACTAAGTTAAAATAGTGGTTTTGGCTTGTGGCTATGGCCCATTCAAAAGTACAATCTGGAGGAGTAGAAACTGTTAGGTCGCCAAAGGAGGAATGCACAGGCCAGAATGGTGAGGGATTACGAATTTATTCAATCATCTGCACACCAGGTGGCTGAGCCTGGATGGCTCCAGCCCCAGGTGACAGGAGTCAGCGGCTTTTAAAGGATTTTGGCAGGCTTTTTCTGGGCGGAGACTTCTTTATGCATACCCAGAGAGGAGATAACGGAATGTGGTCGCCCCAAGTGAAATGTGGTCTAAGCGAAGGGAATGTCCATAGTGAAATGACCTAAAAAGCCAGTTCCCAGGGGAGGGGTATCAATTCAATTGCTCGATCAAACCTAACAGAAACATTTTGTAGTTTATAGTTAAAGCTAACTTCCTGTGTTTTACACACAGGAAAAGATCAATTTTTTGCTGTATGGAGTAGCCCACTGGGAAGTTTGGTTTTCTCACAGCATATAGTTGCCACAGATTAGCATAAATTCCAGTGGATTGGGTAGCCGGCTATGTGCCCACAGACTACACTGCAAATGCAGGCCTGTTGGGGGGTGAACAGCTGGAAGAATGCTTGCCTGGAGGAGTAAGTGCTGACGGCACTCCTTTCCTTCCCAGTGTCAGAGTTCGGGGAACCCACTCCTGAGCAGAGCGGCACAGTTGCTGGACACAGTGTTGCTCAAGCTGCAGCCCCAGTGTCCTGGAAGCAGCAAGAGCCTGCAGAGCTCCCACAGGAGAAGCACTGTAAGAATCCATGTGCAATGTTTGCTGCTGGAGAGATCAGAATGCCAACAGTGGAGGGCAGCCTTGATTCACCCAGCAAAACCATGTCCATTAAAGAAAGGTAATTAGACTTAATGACGGTAAAGTGATTCTATTAAGGAGGAATTACAACTTACTTTTAAGGAGAGGTCTGAGTAATGGGCAAAGGGATGAAATCGTGAGTCTAGCTACATAAGGAGATGTGTTGTTATATTAGAATTCTTTGGGGAAGTCAAGAGTGAATTGCAGTGACTCCCTGCCTGCTCAGGTAAGGCTGGATGAGGGCCAGTTCCAGACTCATATGAGGAAACCACAGAAACAGACATTTGCTTGCTTCATTTGTTTACAGTTTTATTTTATTTTTTATATTAAATTTTTTGACTAACCAGTGATAGGAACAGAGAGCTTGGCTCTTTCACTTTCAGATCCAGATGGCATCACATTTAATGTACTCAGTGTTTGTGACTGTTTATATAAAATCTATATATATAAAAGGCAACCGACCAAAATGACCGGTCACTATGACGTGCACAGCGGCGGCCAGCCGGCCCTATTGGGGTCCTGATTGGCCCACCTCAACCTCCTGTGGCCCCTCCCCCCAGCCAGCCCCACCCCTAGTAGCCTACCCCCAGCTGGCCTGACCCCATCGGCCCCCATCAGGGTGGGCTAGCCAGACCCCACCTGTGCAAGAATTTGTGCTCCAGGCCTCTAGTATGTATATAAACAAATACATATTTGTATATTTATTTGAGGGAATGAAGATACATTCATTTAAAATGAAGGTAAGTTCATTTAGGAAATCAGTATGTACAGGTATTATTGATTTTTAGGGAGAGGTAGATAGAGAAAAACATCAATGTAAGAGAAACATCAATCAGTTGCCTCCCGCACACTCCCCGACGGGTGATCATACCCAGAACCTGGGTATGTGCCCTGACTGGGAATCCAAATTGCCACCTTTTGGTGTTTGGGACAATGCTCCAACTGAGCTACACTGACCAGGGTCATTTAGAATATAAATTTTTGGGATTAAAATCTAAGTTTTGTTTGTTTTATAGAAAGTAAATTAGATGCCTTTTATGAACTGCTTTTAGAAATTTTGTACCAGGTAATAGCTATGAAAGTTTACATTTGAGTATCAACATCATAACATCATTTAATTCAAAAGAATGGTGGATTGATAGGATAGGATATATTTAAATGGGACAGAAACAGAGAGTGGGAGCTAAATATTTCAAGTTGTATTTTCCTTGTTAACCTTCAGTTGAATTAAGTAGCAAAAGATATAATAGCGATAGGAACACTGCAGCAAGAAAGGTCTTGTCAATTTCCCGGTGTGATGAGCAGAATTGTTTCTACCATCAGTTATTTACAGTTCTGCCTACCTAGACTTCCTTAGCACCTCCCACCACCCAGAAGTGTTCTTGCTCTGTTAGACTCTGCTCACTCTTATTTACATAGATATATCCAACTACAATGAAAATTCTTCACTCTGTTTTTCCGGCTGAGCTTTTGAACAATTCCTAAAACATTAACTAGATGATGCCATTTTCAACAAATGCATTATTAAGGTTGTTAAATCTTATTTAAAATTCACAATAAATTAGACTTACTAGACTGAGGAGGCACCAGTGAAGGGCTGACGGGATAAACTAAGTGAGAGGATTGATGTCCTGAATATGGGAAACTGTTTGGCCTGAATCCTCTGTGGACACCTGGCTCAAAGAAGTTGGGTCCCAGAGATCCAGCTATTGATAACCGGTTAGGTGAGATGAAAGAGATTTCATTTAAGGATATTCATGAGAATATCACTTATATGCAGTTCTGATGTTCTGTAGATCAAATAGGATTTCTGGGGTAAAATTCCAGTGGAAAATACTAAGATACTCCTTCTCTCAAAGGCTTTTAAGGGATATTTCCCCATCTTGGAGTACATAATCTATCTGTTGGGACTTAGGACTTTTGGTGAAGTTTTATGTCTATCCATGGTGTGATAATTATTGGTTTATTTGCTATTTTTAATAAATTTTAATGTATTTGTATCTTTCTGGAAGCAGTTTGATTCCTACTATAAAACTCTCATTTTAGAAAATTTGAGATGCTATAAAGGTGCAGCTTCTTAACCTAGGCTTTGTGGGTGACTGAGGAGTTCAAGGATGGCTGCAGGGTTTCTGGGAACTGCTGGGAAGGGTGCAATCAACTGTGTGTGCACAGGCACTTTCTGGCGAGTGGGAAACAGAACCTCTCTCAGTCTCCAAGGGTGACTCCAAATTGTTCAGAACCATAATAGTAAGGAACGCTTGTTAAATATCCTGCTATTCAGTTTAATTGTTAAATATACAGGCATACTTCAGATTTATTGTGGGTTTGGTTCCAGACCACTGCCATAAAGCAAGTATCACAGTAGAGCCCTAATTCTTTCACTGGTGGAGGGTCTTGCCTTCAACTTGTAAAGCATGCAATATCTGTGAAGCACATAAAAAACAAAGTGTGCCTTCATGATGTTTGAAAAGGGATGAGGGGCACTTTATTTAGCAGCTGTGTTTATAATAAATTATGCTAATACAAAATATATTGCCAGTGATCCCCCATGATCTGTTTCAGAGAAGAAGGGAGATGGAGAGAGATAGAAACATCAGTGATGAGAGAGAATCATTGATGGGTTGCCTCCTGCCCTCCCCCCACCCCCCACCCCTCACTAAGGATGGAGTCCACAATCTGACCATATGCCCTGACCTGGAATCAAACCGTGACTCCTGGTTCCTAGATTGACTATCAACCGTTGAGCTGTGCCAGCTGGGCTCCCCCTGATTGTTATGGTATTTTACTTTTACTTTGCTGAAATAACAAAACTATATGTCCTTACAATCCATTTACTTTCCTCTAAATTGGGTTTATAATCCCTTCTGTTAAAATGAGATAATGAAACTTGACCTATTTAAAATAAGGATGCTATCCATGTAATTTTGGGAGGTTTACTTTTCTTTTTTGAGGTGACAGATAAAATAGAACTTTTAAACCTTATTCTGACTTCCTCTGACTGCCTCATTTGGCCAAAGGAGGGGTTCATTTTCAGTGTCCACAAGAGTCACACGGTGACCAGAACTGACAGCAGGGCTGGACTCCAACTCTTCCACCTCCTCTTTCAGAATATGATTGATGCTCAAGAAGAAACATATATCAAAGTGCCTTTTCTTTTTTCATTTTTTCTGACATCTAGAATGTCAAGTTTGAACCGTAATGAGCATAAAACTTAAATGCAATCTGCTTTGTTTCATACCTGTCCAAATGGTTGGAGAGTAAATTGTTCCTGTTTGGGAACTTCTTTGGAAAAGCATTGCAAATCAAATTATGTTTATGTTATTTAGGGATAAAACCTTTTATACTTCTTTATAAGTACACTAGCTTTTAGAATCTTATTTCCACTATTACTGAAACAACCGAATCTGAGCTTTTATATTTAGGGAGGAGATTACTAAAAAAGTCAAAGGAGCCATGCCTTCACTTTGGGAAATTGGTAGGATGTGAGGACTTAGTTGAAGAATATTGAAAAACTCGCCCATGCCTCCTGCCAGCATGCAGAATCCTGACTTAGGGGAGCAGTTGGGGTCCTGGGGTCCCCCCATGCTCCTCCATCCACCCTGCTGCCTTCCACCCAGCACAGGCTATATTCATGCTTCCCCAGCAGATTCTGGGTTCCTCTGGGAGATGTCGCCACTAGAGGGCCCCAGATTATGTAAGAATTAGTGATGAAGGTATCATTCCCCTTTAACTGTCCTTTTTTGGTCTCTGGCTTTTCCTCATTTAAAAGACATGTTAGTTCACTCCTTCAGCCTGCAAACTAGCCAAGGCGATTGTAAATACTAACCAGTGCTGTCCAGCCCTACCTGAAATCTATGAGGTGCAGTAATTCTCTGAAGTGCAGAGACATTTTTAAAGAGGGAAGAACACAGGTTGAAGATTAGGGGCACATGGTTTGTCCCTCCCATGGTATTTTTGCTGAAAAAAGTGTGGGCCGTGGCAAGAGGCGTGAACATTTCCCCAGGCGACCTGGCAAGCACATGCTCTGGTGGCCCTGGCCAAGCCTCAGGGTTAATAGGCTAATGCAGAGCCACTCACTAGGTTCTCAGCCTCAGACTAAGCAGATGCCCAGCCTCTCAGCATCACAGCCCTTCAAATAGCACTTGGGCTGGGCGGGTGTTGGAAGTGCTGACAGTCCTTTGAATGGCATAGGCCTTCATTTATGTCACGTGTAACACCAGACACGTAGCTCCTCGGCCCTCTCCAGCACACGGTGGTCTGCAGTGAGTCAGAAGGGTTGTGAGACTAAAGGAGGCAAGAAGGCAGTTGGAAAGGTCTTTTGCTCTGCTCAGCTTGTGGGACACCAATAGGAAATCTAAAGGGACAGAATAATACATTAAAGTTTCAGTGTGTGTGATTTTTAAGTTATCCGTCATTTACATTCCATAGGCTAGGGCTGGAATCAAGTACCATGTGGGCTCAAATGAACCACAGTTTCATCCAGATTATTTTGGTTACTCTGTAGTCTTTGGAAGTCCCTGATGATGGCCCTGCCAGCACATCCAGAAGCAAGATTTCAGGTTCTTGGAATGGAGGAATCTTTGAAGGCCAACCCCGGATGTAGGGACAACATTATACGAAAGCCAGAGTGCTGTGCTGCCCCTGAAACCTGAGGGCAAACTGTCTGGTCAGCTCATGTGCTAATGCTGTGACACCAGCCTGGCGGAAGGCAGGACATGCCTGGTTTGGAGCCACAGCTCCCTGTCCTATTGACACACAGTGTGGCTCCTGTCAACCAAATCCTGGGCCTGCATGCATTGTTCCTTGTCGGTCAGATTGGTAATAGCAATATTTAGTTTCTTAGAGGCTGCTATGCAGATCAGCAGATTATCAGGTAGACTAATAAGTGATTAAAGATTCCACAACTCATTATTTTTTCTAAGTCAGTTTTTAATTCCTCAAATCAGACACTAGGGAAACCAAATGATTATTTAGATGATGTTGTCATTGCTCCAAGAAATTGGGAGCTTTTTTTTGAGAAGGTCCTCAAAAACTGTAGTGCATTATTTTTAATAAACCTAACTCCTGAGGATGAATTTCTTATTTTTTTAAATTCTCTCAAATCATTCAAAATCAAATCTAATTGGTTTAAAAGTGTAGATGGCCAAGATGAATTACTACTGGTCTACATCAAGGGTGAAGAGACGAGACCAGTTTGTATGAAAGATGTGAGATGACTGTCTGTCTGCACAGGATGATGAATTAGAAGCACCTCTTTATTTGGCTGTAAAAATACTGGCACATTTACTTTTTGAAAGTCCCATGTATAGATACTTTGAAAACTCTGAAAGCTCTACTGCAGTATGCAAATAATAATTATATCTTTTCATGATTTGACTTTGTTAGATTCTTCTTTTTTATTAGAAAAAGCTGACTCATTGAGGATAATTGGAGAAAAGATAAAGCTTAGGTATATATAGACTGAACTTCAGATGAAAACACTGAAAGGAATTTAGAATTTGTTTTCAAGTACATGAACTAGCCCTTGAACCATGCAGAGTCTTGTCAAACATCATTGATTATAGAATTTAAGGCTAAATTGATTCTTGAGCCAAATGGGGGCTCTCTTAGTAAGATTCTGACTTCAATTTCCAATGTATGTGTTTTTTCTCCCATAGCCAAGCAATTCTAACACCAGCTGGGTATCCTATAATTCAACTCAGTTCTGATACTCTATCTGGAGTTAGCATCAGATACCACAGTTTAAAGACTCAGTCCTACAAGACTGCCTCCCACCCCCAATTCAGATGCCATTCACAAGTCCAGGTTGTACTTCTTACTAGCTGTAATTCAGAGGTTCCCACGACCCCCTCCTTGGGTTGATTAATTTGCTAGAGCAGCTCATAGAACTCAGAGAAACACTTACTTACTAGATCACTAGTTTACCATGAAAGCATGTGACTCAGGAACAGCCAATGGAAGAGATGTGTAGGGCAAGGTGTGTGGGAAAGGGCATAGAGCTTCCACATCCTCTCCAAGCACACCACTCTCCCCAAGTCTCCATGTTCCACCAACTCAAGAGCTCTCCGAACCCTGTTCTTTTGGGTTTTTATGAAGGCTTCATTACATAAGCACTATTCAGTTCAGTTGCAAATAGTCAATGATTTAATCAATCTTCAGGATCTCTCCTCTCTGGAGAGATCAAGGGGTAGAGCTAAAAGTTTCAGCCTTCTAATCATATGGTTGGTTTTCCTGGCATCAGCCCCTATACTCATGTGCTTCCCCGAAGTCACGCCATTAATAATAAAAGACACTTAGGAAATTCCAGGAGTTTTAGGAGTTCTGTGCCGGAAACTGGGCCAAAGACAAAATATCTATTTCTTCTTATAAATCACAATATCACAGGTAGATAGGTAAGGTGGCATTATACCAGTTTTATGGAATGGACATTTGAGGTCTAACTGCTGTAATGAAGCATAAAGGAAGAGAAAAAAAGGGGAAGGAAGTGATTGGGGTGGGGATCTGAAGATCCTGCTCACTTTGCGGGGGTTCTTTTCTTCATGGCTTACTTTCCATTATTTGACTGAATGAATGGGCAAGTATAAGGTGTGATTATGTATGAATTTATAAATGTAGATGGATTATTAAGCACTGCAAAGTTTTTCTTATTTGTTTAACAAAACTTTTATCATGGAGTATATCACATCCCATCTCCAATTCAAATATTTAATCGAATCAGGAAACTTAATTGAAGGGCCCTTTGAGACCATCTAGTCCAGTTCCCAAAGTGACCAGTAAGGAAGGGAGACCAGGCTACCTAACCCAAGTTGACAGCCAGGCTAGAGCTGCTGTGCTGTATGCGGGCATGTGCTAATGATGTTTAAAAGGCATATCCCAGCAGGCTGGGCAGAGAGGGCAAGAGAGTCTAAAGGGGGTTTAATCATTTTTTTTCCCAATCTTTAAAGTCGTTGAGCATCAGCTCATGTGAGTTTAAGGATCACCATTTTTTTTTTTTTTGCCTTTTATCTTTTCCATGTTTGTCCAAGTCAGCGGTCCTCAACCTGTGGGTCGCGACCACTTTGGTGGTCGAACGGCCCTTTCACAGGGGTCACCTAAGACCATCCTGCATATCAGATATTTACATTAAGATTCATAACAGTAGCAACATTACAGTTATGAAGTAGCAACGAAAATAATTTTATGGTTGGGTCACAACATGAGGAACTGTCTTTAAAGGGCCAGAAGGTTGAGAACCACTGGTAAGTATTCTTCACTCGCTATAATAGAGTCAGCTGAAACAGCCTCATGTTCACCAAAAGAACCTTTCACAGGTTATAACATCCAACCAGCTTTATATCAAGTCACACTAGAGTTGAAATAAAGTAGGTTAGGTAAAAGTCTCAGTTAATTAGATTCTTTTTTTATGTATAGCTTTCCCCTGAGGAAAGTTGAAGTAATAATTTTTAAAGTGGGTTTGTAGAGAAGCTTCTGTATTAAGAGGATAGATTGGAAAGACCAAGTTTGTTTGGAGAGTAAAAACAGGGCTTAGGATACAGGAAGAGAAACAATCTTAAACATCTTCTTTCCCTGTAATTGAAAGATATGATATTAAGAGATGGTCAGCTTTTAAGTTTTTAAACCAATTTCTGCTATATTTTCTGCAAGTAAGTTACTACCTAGCAAGTCATTAAATGTTGTTTCATCAAGTGACCGAAAGGGGCCATTAGCATACATGTTTCTCTGGGGTCATGCCCTCAGCCCAAAAAGAAGGAAAAATCACAGCTATTCCTTTAGTGGAATGATAATGCAGTTTTTATCTGGCAAGTCAAATTACAGCTTTGCATATCTGTCAACTTTAAAATTTTGGGGGCCATCTTAGAAAGGGGATGCCTATATTATTTTTTTAGACATACTTCAGAATAAATGAAATTTAGAGAGATTAAAATTAGGTAACTGTGGTTATTTAATAGCCAAAGACTTCTAAGTTATCTACATTATGGTTTTATTACAAGTGAGAGTTTGTTGCTGAACTCTTCGGTTGACATGTTTTCCTCTTAGATTAGCACTGCTGAAGAAGAGTGGGGAGGAAGATTGGAAAAACAGACTTACCAGAAAGCAGGAGTACAGCAAAGCGACCGTTGCGAGTAGCCTGCACATACAAGAAGTGGAACAGTCACTCAAGAAGAAGGTAACGTTTTCCGTGTTAGGAAAAGCACTGACATCATGCTTGGAAGTGCATCAAACAGGCATGCAAGACTTCACTGATCACTGACTGCTTTGTGAGGCGCTAGCACTTCCTTGCTTGTTGAGTTCACACTTAAAGTCTGTTTCACAGCAGCTTCAGGTGATCAAAAGGTAAAGTCTTGAGATGTCATAGAACTGGGAATAGCACCACCTGCATAATGTATTGGCAAACAAGTTCCAAAATTCTGAAGTGTGTACTTTTACTTCAGTTTAAAACCTTCTTAAATGAATTCTGACTCTACAATATTATTAATAAAGCCTTTATAATGAACAACTTTAATTGACCACTAACACTTTATATGTTGCATATAAAGTATGGACTTAAATGTCCTATACTGAGATTTAAAACCTAAATATACAAAATAGAGACATAATTTTGTGCTCAGTGAAACCTTATTTCATAATTGTAAGCAAATTTCACAATGAGCAGGTATGCCTTTTATTGAGAATATACAGGAAGATATATTACAAGTTTAAATAAAATTAAGTAACGGATTGTTATTACTGGCAAGGATTTGATATGCAGAAGTAGTAATTATTTGTTAAATTACTAATGTAATGATGACCAGCATTTGACCAGTTAGTGCACACTTTCAAAACAGATATTGGCTTTCCTGCTGCTTGGCCTGGTGATTGCCGAAGTCTTGCTGGCTGGAGGCAAGGGGAACACCTGGGGCAGGCACATCCACAGGCAGCATCAAAAGTCTTCAAACAGAAAAAAAAAACTTTCTACCAGATGATCACCAGGACCCCTTCTAGTTCTAAACCAACTTAAGCATCTGTAAGAGGGAAATTGTGAATGTGGCCCTCATACATTAAGAAACAAATATGTTTGCACACAGAACTGCAAGGTGGGAGTTCTGACACTATTTTATATAGTATTTCAGTGTCTTTATAGGTCAAATTGGAATAGCAATTTGAATTCTCTCTTTTGAAACATACATGATATTAAAGATAATGACTTAAAACATTTAATTCTCAGTCATTAGTAAATTTCTCAAATAAAATCCCATGTGATTTTTGGATTTGCATACATGTAAAGAATGAGATTTTAAGAATGAGATCCTGAAGTGAAAGAAAATTGGGCCCTTCAACTAGGTCCCATTGCCCACAAACTTTATTTTTAAAAGTCTTGAAATCAGTAGTTCAAAAATAACATTAACACTTATGTCATTTTGGAAGATACAAAGAAGCCTGAGAAGATAGATGGTAGGCGCAATGGCCAGGTGAAAATTCAAATAAAGCTACAAAACACAAAGCTAGATAGATTCATCACGGAGAGTGCAAGGAGATAAATGCTCCACTCACTTAGAAGACAGGTCATCTGAGGCTCTGCACACCAGAGGCTGTGAGTAGAGGAAGTGATCTGAGCTACCTTAACACTTGACTAAGGGACTTAGAAGTCAAGCGATGGGAGAAGGTGACTGCAGTTGCCGGTGGAGTGGAAATCCCAGTCCACAGAAGCACTGGGGCTCTGAGCATGACTGGGCTTGAGTGTGAATGATGCTCTGGACTAATGGAAGCAATGGTGAACTCACTGCTCCACCCGTCCTCAGTGACCTCATTCACTTTGGCCAGAGACAATCAGCTCTTTGAAGTTAAAATAAGTCGATCTATTTTAGGCTTTCGTAGCAGACAGTGAGACATCTCAAGTTCTGTGGAGAACAAATGGTTTCACTTGGCCTCTGATAAGTCCTTGCCTTGAATTCTTCCCAAGGGCCAGCAGTACATTTCTGTCACACCTCCACTCTGCTCAGATGTGAGGTGCCTTAAACCTGATCTGTCTTAAGACAGTCCCCAGGCAGCTGAGGAGTGCTTGAGAAACACCACTGCGTGCTGGTGTCTGAATGCTGCCCTGGAGAACAAGGACAGTCTTGACCTGTGGTATGCGGGTGGGACCTCGCTGTGTGGGCCGGCTCAGGGGAGTGAGCACCAGAACCTTCCGTCTTTTCCACCAAGGTGGAAAGGAGCTGGCTTTACAGCCGGGTCATCATTTTCTGCACAATTTCATCAAACAGCACATATTCATGGTTACCACACATTTTACACTTAGTCCCCTCAAGCTTTTGTGTGCAGTAGGCATGGTCCCATGAGTTGTAGCCTATGGGAATACAGGAGGCAGGAAACAGAGACAGGATTCTAAATTGCTTCCACTGCCCCTGTGAAAATAATTGCTGTCCAATAAACATAGTAATTTTATGTTATTTAGTAACCACATTAAAAATGTAAACATTGCCTTAAAAATCTATAGCTGCTTTGTTTCTGTCAAAGGGTTTATCCCAAAAGAATATAAATTTGTGGTGCAGTAGCCAGCATCTCATTCGGGAGTGTATGTGGTAAGAAAATATTCTTTACGCCCATAAATCGATTTGGGAAACTAAGTCAGTTCCTTTTCCTACTGGAATATCAGTCATTTCTCAGGGAATATTTAACTTAACAGCAGTTCCTTGCTTTCCAAATCTGTCCCCCAAAACAGAGTTGATAAATTGGAGCACTAATTACTTAGGGAGCTGACTCTGTCCTTTCCTCTGACAAAGAGTTCAGGTTCCTTCTCTCTGCTCTCTTCCTATCTCCCTTACCACCTTTCTTTCCTCCTCTTTTCTTTCTCCTGTTCTTGGCTTATTCCAGGGCAGTGCTAACCTGACTTAAACGTTTTTGCTTTTATAGCATATATAATTGGTTTTAAAGCCATTTGGTTTGTAGATTTGTGGAATGTGTACACATGGGCACAATCTGTGGACAGTTTCCTGCAGTGTAATTCATTCCCTCAAAAGAGTGAATGCAATGAAACAAAGTGACATTTTGAAGAAGTAATTTGGCAAAAGTTTCTTGGTTACAGCAACATTGCAGTTACTTATTTTAAACAAATAACTCTTTTAAATTACAGCCCATGTTGGCATACAGATAGTAAATCCCATGCCCCTTTGTTAAGGTAATCACTGGGGATATCAGACTTTTTTAGGAAATAAAAAACCGTGTACAGAGTTTTTCGTTACAATCCTGGGTTTACTTCTGGGTCACAAATTATGATTTGATATTTGCTATCCTTCAGTAAGGTCAGGTCACAGAGATTATTATGCTAAGTGAAATAAGCCAGTCAGAGAAAAACAAACATCACATGATCTCACCTATATATGGAATCTAATGAACAAAATAAACTGACAAAATAGATCCAGAGACATGGGAGCATGGAACAGACTGAGGAATCTCAGAAGGAAGGGTTCCTGAGGGTGAGAGGAGATTAACCAAAGAATTTCTATGCATATATGCATAACCCATGCACAGAGGGTAGTGTGCTGAAGGCCTGGGGAGGAGGCTGGAGTGGGGAAGAGAGCGACAATGGTGGGAAAAAGGGGAACATCTGTAATATGTTCAATGGCAAAGATAAACTTAAAAAAATACAAGAAAACACACACAAAAACTACCATTATAAAAATAATTAAGCTAAGATAATGATGTCCCCAGAATGAGTCTTTGAAAATTTAAGGAAGGTACTGTAAATCTGCTACACGCACATTCTCATTCCTGTTGTCATTGAAATTCCAAATCACAGTTTAGGAGTGAAGTCAGTTTAAAGAGCAAGGGGAGGAGGAAGAAAGAGGCCCAAGTTAAAGTTTAGCATGCTGATGGGGCAGGGTGGGGGTGGGGCGGAGCTTGCCTGGTGTGTGTCACCTGCCAATGTGAGTGCATGCATGCCTCTGGCTGAACCCAGGCACAAAACCCTGGCAAATGGTTATCACATCTTAACTTGACCCAGCTCTTCTGACACTCTGCAATGTTACCTATCTGTTTTAACCTGTAGGAAGACGGAGGATTTACAGATGATAGTATCGTTTCTAAACTGCTTTGGGTAAGCCTGACTCTAATACAGGTGTCCCTGGGTTACAGCAATATGCCTGCCAGCTATAATTCTCACAGGGGTGGCTCCCTTAGTGCCCTCTGGGTTTGGTTTCTTATCCCAAGGCAAGATGTCACTTCATTCAGAGTGGGAAGCTATGCTGTGTCCTTAATTTTTTTTAGCATATCATGAAAAAATTTGAAAGGCTTTGAAGTAGATATTTTATGGTAAATGTTAAAACTCAAACTTATGGTTCCCTTTCTATAACTGAGTATCTTCTATAGATCATAAAACTGACTAGAGTATTCTTACTGTACTTGTGGATTTATTTCAGCATTCTAAAAAATGAACAAATGGGAAGGACTCTTTTGAAAAGCTAACTGAAATTGCAATGAGAAATTAACATTCTGTTAGAGAAATCATTGTTTTTGTCTCTCCCTCTCCCCACCCGGATCTGATAAGTCTTCTCACCTCTAATCCTCTCCCTTTGCTCTATAGGAACCTGTATATGCTTCTACTTATTCTCCTACTATACCTGCTGCCCATAAACACCTGTCTTTTGTATCTATTAATCAGGTGAGGAAAGCCTAAACATATTAAGCCTCATTGCAATTTCTGAGCAGTAGGGAAGCTTGTTTCATTTAGGGAAGTTACCGCTGCGTGTGCGTGCGTGTGTATGTGTGTGTGTGTGTGTGTGTGTGTGTGTGTGTGTGTAATCAGTTCATATATTTATAGTCAGTTACATATATCATATATTTGGCTCAGACTTTCAGATAGACCTGATGATATTAATTCACTTCATAATCATGAAACTGGTTCAAGAAATACTCCAGAGCAGCAGTCGCCAACCGGTGGTCCGTGAGGTCTGAAAGGCTGGCGACCGCTGCTCCAGAGAGTTCCTTGCTCCAGCTCAGCAATAATGCCGTCTTGCTCAGCTTGATGAACAAGGAGGATGAATGAGGTGGAGGCAGTGTGGGGTGTGGAAGGGACAGGGAGGAAGGGGCTAGTGTGGCATGAGCTGGTTGCAGTGGCTCTATGGAAATGAAAAACCAAAGCCTCCTGCTTCCTACCCACTGTACCCTATCTGAACCCCACCCCAGAGGAGGGACCTGGCCTGGCTCAAGGCTTCTGTTGGTGCCTAATATGTGATAATTTTTAAAGCTAAAAATACCCATGTTTGGTTTTCTAATGTTGACATTTTTGCAGGAGCCGCTACCCCACTTTGCCTCCATGATTGGTTTTTATTCCCCTTGGAATGTCTCTGGTGTCAGAAGAGCTATGAAAAGCAGCCATATACACTTTGCCATGAGCCCCATATTCTCCTCTCCTCCATCCATGGGACCTGGCCCAGTCATTTCCTTTTTAGGGACTTTATTTGCTCTAAGGTGCCCTCTGCAAAAATTTCATGACTATACTGTCCCCTTAGGCCTGGTAGTGATAAAACAGGCTTCTGAGTGTTAGGTGCAGGATTTCAAACATGAAATCAACAGTGCTGCCAGGGAGAGGCTTCTGAGGGCCCTTCTGTCTGCATCTCGCATCTTCACACACGGAAACGCCCGTTTCTACTCCTGCAGGTGGACTTTTCCCTCACCCTCCTTGGTTCCTTTCCTCTGAAGTCAGGCATGCTGGTCTGTGAGCCAGCCTCACATAGCCAGTCAGTGTCCACCCAAAAATGAGGTTGAAATTAGAGGGGGCACATGAGTTATTTCTTCTAAATAAGTCAACTTCAAAAGATGTATTGTTGAGCTCCTTAAATATAAAACATTTATATTATATTCATATATACTTTTTTAATAGACTGTTTTTAGAGAAGTTTTAGTTTCACAGCAGAATTGGGCAAAAAGTACCCACCACCGTGCACATAGTCTTTCCCACTATGAGCATCCCCATCGGAGACATACATTGGTTACAGTTGATGAACCTACACTGACACATCATTATCCCCCAAAGTCCATAGTTTACATTTGGGTTCATTCGTGGTGGTGTGCATTCTGTGGGTTTGGACCAGTGTGTCATAGCTTGTAGCTGTCAGTATAGCACCATGCAGAATAGTTTTACTGCCCTAAAAACCCTCTGTGCTCTGCCTATTCATCCCTTCTCTCCCCACCCCCAATCCTTGACAATCACTGATCTTTCTGTTGTTACCATAGTTTTGCCTTTTTCTAAAAGTTGTATAGTTGGAATCATTCAGCCTTTTCAGATTGGCTCCTTTCACACAGTAATATGTACTTAAGGTTCCTCTATGTGTTTTCATTATTTGATAGCTCATTTCTTTTTTGTGCTGAATAATATTCCTTGTCTGGATGTAATACAATTTGCTTATCCATTTACCTACCAAAGGGCTTCCTAGTTTTGGCAATTATGAAAAAAGCTTCAATAAATATCCATATACCAGTGTTCTTTTTGTGAGTGTGTAGCTAGAAGTTTTTCAACTCCTTTGGGTATTAATGAGCCAATTACTGGATCATATAGTAGGAGTATGTTTAATTTTGTAACAAATTGCCAAACTGTCTTACATATCCACCAGCAACGAATGAGGGTTTCTCTTGCTCCACATCCTCACCAGCATTTGGTAGGTACAAGGTTTTGGAATTTTGCTATTGTAATAGGTGTGTAGCAGTATCTCGTTGTTTTAACTTGCATTTCCCTGGTGGCATATGATGTAGAGCATCTTTGCATGTATTTATTTGCCATCTGTATATCTTCTTGAATGAAATGCCTGGTGAGATACTTTTACTATTTTTTAATTGGTTGTTTTCTTATTGCTGAGTTATAAGAGTTCTTATTTTTAAGTTAAAAATATATTTACTGGAGGCAATCTATGTTTTATCTCTTGAAAGTTAAAAATGTCTTAAAACTTTTTTATTTTTACTTCTTGACAGTCTTTCCAGATAAATATTTTATGTACCAGTTAGTGGCACGAGCTTGTCAGTTTTCCCAGATGTCAGGAGACTCCTTTCCTCAGCAGTCCTGGTGTCAGCATCCAATGACTCAAAGGCTCAGAGCAGAAAACAGCACTTACACAGAACACACACTGTGTCTAATGAACCATTTGTCTCCTTATTAAGCTTCAGCATACAATGTCTTCTTCCTCACATGCCTCGGGGCTGTACCAGAATAAGATTTTCCTTAATTCCCCTCCTCTTATTTTAGAAGCTGGTGGATGGTGACAAACCAAGTTATGGTTACTTTGAGGTCTACACGTAGTTGAGATCTTCTTCATGTTTTGTTCTGACTACTTGGAGCTGCATGCCCTCATTTTGGTTGGAAATCACTTAAGACAGGGAGAAAGCTAATTTTTTTAATAGTGCACAGAATTCTAAGTGGTAATAGCATTTTTGAAAACTGAGAAGTACTTTTGTCACTTTACCTTATTTCTGTTACTTAACATGTTCTTGGATCATTTCTATAATTTAGTTTAAGTAGATGTGAATAAGATAAGAAATTTTAAAGCCACATCACAATATTTTCCACCCATAAACCTCTCCAGTTATGGGAGAATTTATTCTTAAGATTGCACTAATCCTATAATACAGGTTAGTTCCACTCTCCCTTGTATTAATTAGCTCACTGTGTCAGAAACATGTAGCGAGAGTTGCACTATAATTTCTTAGTACAGTTGACTCTAGATCAATGCAGCAGTTAGGAGTACAGACAGTTGAAAATCCATACATAACTTTTGACTACTAGTAGCCTACTGCTGACCAGAAACCTTATAGATAAAATTCAACTCATTTAACATATTTTGTATGTTATGTGTATTCTTACCATAAAGTACACCAAGGGAAAAGAAAATGTTATTAAGAAAAATCAGAAGGAAGAGAAACTACATTTACAGTATTTATTGAAAAAAAATCACCTGTAAATGGACCGATGCAGTTCAAACCCATGATGTTCAAGAGTCAACTGTAGATATGTAGAGGCAAACCCATCAGTAACAGTGTGGTACCCTGAAAACGTTTTCGCAGGACAACCCTTTGCACAGTTTCAAGCTGTGTTCTGCTAGGTCCCTGTCCATCCCTAAGAATATCTTCTCTTCTCAATTGTTTCACTGACTTTTAAACACACACACATTTCCTCCCCTCTCCATCTCCATCTCTGCACACCTCGTTCATGGAGTCTGTGTTGGAACAAGTGAAGCACAGGTTGGCTAGGGCTTCTATTTATATTCTGACAACTCTTTCTTACTATTCTTGGAAATCCTAAATGTCATTGACTAAACCTGGATAAACCTGGAAAAATGACCCAATATTTACTGCAATATGTATTATGTCCTTCTCTAAGTGGGGAAGAAAAACTTAGAAAGTTAAAACAGTACAATAATGAAGTCTTAAGCTAAAAAAAGAAAAGTAAATGGACAGAGATGTCCATCTTATTTGTTTTCACATTTTGAGTTCTATAATTTAATAGCAACTTGGAACAATTTCTTTATTAGATTCTCCAGTGAATATATAAGCTATTAGAGGCCCAGTGCACAACATTCGTACACTGGGGAGTGTGTGTGGGGGGGGGTTCCTCAGCCCAGACTGTACCCTCTCGCAGTCCAGGACCCCTCAGGGGATGTCCGCCTGCCAGAGAGGCTGGAGAGGCTCCTGCCACTGCCACTCCCCTCTCCAGCCATGAGCCTGGCTTCTGGCTGAGTGATGCTCCCCCTGTGGGAGCAAACTGACGACCAGGGGGCAGCCCCTGCCTCCTGGTGGTCAGTGTGCATCATAGCAACTGGTCAATCAGTCGTTCTGGTCATTCTGCCATTCGGTCTCTGGGCTTTTATTATATAGGATATTTTTCTTATTTCATTCGAGAGTCATATAGAGTGAGATAGCAGGAATTAGTGGGCCCTAAACCAACCCCACTAAGCAGCAGAATTAAGGTGAAACTTCTAGAAAAACAAAACCTTTTACATTTAATGTTATCATTTAGAGGGGAATAAAAAATATGCCTTCTTAACACAGATGAAACAGCTGTATCATTCCAAGGCTCCTATGTGTCACAATCTCAAAGGAGCTCCAGGCGAACCCCAGTGCTTTGGGGAATGGAATTGCTGACTTAGGAATACCAATTTTCTGAGTCATTAACCATACCCCACTACCACACCCAGGACCTTGGAGAGGCTACTGAGTTCACTACAGAGCAGTGATGTCTGGATCCTTGGACAAGCAAACCTTGGCACATTATATGTTTTTTTCCCCAAAATATTTAAGTCTAGTGCTATATTGATTTGATTAAAATTCACTCGTGGGACTTCATATTCAAAGAAAATTAATTTTCTTTTATGAATTTTGATGAAATCCTCCTGGCAAGTCAACCTCATAGTTTATTTTAGAAGGGTATGTGATTCCCAGAGTTACTTGGAATTAGGGTCATTTTGACAATTGCAAGTGGGAAAGTTTAAAAAAAGAATTTTAAACATTTTTGATAACTCTATTTTGATAAAATTTAAAACTTATAAAAAAGTCATCATAGAGACAGGGTATTCTCATATCTTTTACCAGGTTTATTTTTATTTATTTATTTATTTATTTTTAAAAATATATTTCTTTATTGACTTCAGAGAGGAAAGGGGAATAAGTGAGAGAGAGAAACATCAATGAGAGAGAATCATTGATCGGCTGCCTCCTGCACGCCCCCTACTGGGGATCAAACCCGAAACCCGGGTATGTGCCCTTGGTTGGAATTGAACCCGGGACCCTTCAGTCCACGGGCCGATGCTCTATCCACTGAGCAAAACCAGCTAGGGCTTTTACCAGATTGATATGTTGACATTTGCTCCCTTCCCAACTCCTCTCACCCTTCCTCTCTCCATCCCCCACGCCAGTGCTGGCTGGCTGCTTTCCCCTTATATATTTACTAGTGGCCCAGTGCACAGATTCATGCACATTGAAAGGAAATTAATTAGAAAGTGGCCTGCGGGGCAGAATTGGGCAAGACTGGCCAGACACACCCTGTAGCCAACCTCCCTTGGGCCCTCCCTGGTGGCACACCTGGGGTGGTGCTGTAGATCGAAGGGTGCCTATGGAGTGAGCAGGGTCCCTCCCGTAGTGGGGTCCCTTGGCTTGGCCTGCAGGGATTGGACCAAAATCGTCTCTCTGACATCCCCAGAGGGGTCCTGGAGTACGAGAGGGCACTCTGCAAAGATGCTGTCGTACAGGGTTGGAACTCAAATGCAAGTGAGCAGTAAATCAGATTCAGGGCCTACAGTGCCCCAAGAACAACATAACCCATGGTCAAAGGTGTAATCACAAGGCCTCACGAGGAATCGGGCTCCCTCCTCTCGTTTCAGGGTGCATCACCCGAGAACCGCTGCTGCCAAGTTACTGCAGCTCGGTAGCTCCTGAGTTGAGCGTCTGCCCCCTGGGGGTCAGTGCTCATCATAGCGACCAGTCGGACAGGAGGAGGGACACTTAGCACATTAGCCTTTTATATATATAGATATCACCACCCAATACCATCACATTAGGGATTAGCTTTCAGCCAATGAATATGGGGAGGAGGGGGAAGCACAGACATTCAATCTATGGCACACTTCCATAACTATAATACAGTCATCAAGATGAGGGAATATCACATTGATAGAATGTTTAATCCATGATTCATATTTCAATTTTGTCAATTTCTCCCTAATGACTTCCCTTTTACACCCACCCACACCCTAATTTTGGATTCAAGCCAGGATCATGCATTGTATTTTGTTGCCCTGTCTCTTTATTAAAAGGTTTTTAACCTAATTTAAGTGACCAAAGATCTTAGAACCAGTTTTGGCTATGATTGCTCTGTGGAAGAAGTCTGTAAAAGGAAGGCTCCTAAACGAGATGATGGCGAAGTCCATATTTGTGGCTTAAGCCAGCTGGTGTCAGCGCAGGCATGGTTTTATGCTGCTGGAAAGGCGGGAAAGACCTGTTTCCTGCACTGCCTCCGTCATCCCAGGGCTTTAAGAAGGCCCCCCACTGCCCGCCACCCCAACAAATCTGGGAGTTATGCCCTGTTGGTCAGTTAAGGGAAGCTGACTTGCCACTTGGATGGAGTTGAGGAAGAATCAGTGGCCCCAGATGTATTTCCCCTCAGGGCTCAGGCACTCACACTGTGTCATTGGAGGCCTGACCCTCACTTTGATTCATGTTATTCAAAGGAAAAGTCCTTACGAGAGAAGAGGAGCTGGGGAAACTGCCAAATGCCTTAGCGGAAATGGCATTCCTCAGTCTAAGAAGATCCTGAGGTGAAAGCAAAAGCACAAACCCAGGAGGTTGGCCACCCCCATCTTTAGAGCCCCTCCTGGATGGCCTCCAGGGGACAGCCCAGAGGCTCCTGTCTGGGAGGGGCTCTCCTCCTCCACACCGGCCCCCAGGGCTCCTGCCCTCTCCCTCGCTTCAGGCCCTGGCCCGTGCCCTCACAGACAGGGGTTTAGAGTGAAGCTCTGTCCTGCCAACATTGGCAGGCCTCCTGCCCGAACCACCCTACTACCATCACCCACTCTTTCTCAGGGCCACACCCCTTCTCTCTGGGCCTGGGTGCCGTGAGCCCTGTCCTCTGCCTCCTTCCTGCTCTTCATCCTCTAACCTCAGCCCCAGCGGCCTGAGCTCTCCCTCTTGCCCTGCTCTCTCAGTCCCCTCAGCTTTTCCCTTGGGCCAAATGAGTATCACCAATGGCTTAGAAAGTGAAGAGTCAGGAATCTCCAGAACCCCAATTAGAAGTTTATAAAAAGTATTTTTACATGAAAATTTTATTATATATGTAAGTTATATCTGTAGCACAGTTCATCCTCAGTGTCAGATATATTATGGCCTACAAGTTAGGCCCTGATTGCCTAACTCCCATGTAACATAGATGCTCTAGAAAAAAGCATGTCAAGTTCCAGAAAACCTTACAGCACCTTACTCCTGATCAGCTTTCCCTGCTTTATAATTGACCATGTTCCTGTGTACTTAGTTGGTAAGATCTTCTGATAGTGTTCTTTGTGATACATATGCTAATATGTGTAATACATATGTGTGTATATATATGCATATATACAAACACACACATATATATATTCATATACACACATAATGTATATGAATAAAATGTTCTCATCACCTGAGTTTAATCAGATAGGTAAAACAGACAAATTTAAAAACCCTGTAAAGGTCCTGGCATGAAGGCTGTCTCTATTTTTGTTTATTTTTACAAAGTATTGGTCTGGTGTTCCAATTTTCCAGACAAATAGTTTAATAGAGCAACTAAGTTTTGATTTAAAGTTTCAGTATTGCTTATGGTGATCTCTGATCCAAGCTTTAAGTAAGGAAGGCAAACCTACTTAAAAACAGATATGGCCAGTTTCAGACAGTGTTGTATCCTCTTTGTTTGCCTGCTTTTGAGCTCACGCAATGCTATGGGCTAAAATTCACCTCTCTCTCATTTCCCTCTTCTATCTTCTCATTTGTACATGTTAAACTCAGCAGGTCACAGAAAGTCGAGAGAGCCAAATGACTATCGAAGAGAGGAAGCACCTCATCACTGTGAGAGAGGAAGCTTGGAAGACAAAAGGCAAAGGGGCAGCTAACGACTCCACCCAGTTTACCGTGGCCGGAAGAATGGTGAAGAAAGGTCAGTGTGCGAATGTGCATGTAGTACTCGTGTACATGTGTGCATACATGCTCCATCACCCATGGAGGGGATGGGGGCCCGTGACAGCTCAATGATAACAATTGCACCATGGTATATTTAATTTTTAATCTCAACAGATGTTGTGTAAATGGTTTTGGGGTCGGTTTTTTGAGATATTTCTACCGAAACCTCTTTATACATAGCATCATCTTCAATGTAAAAGGCATAATTCAATTTCAAAACTTAGCCATTTGGAAATTGAGCACAGGTTTCAAAAGCAATTGCAAGTCTGCTAACAAATCTTAGTTCTTTCCCATAATTACTTTCAAATTATTTCCATTTTTTTGCCATCTGGCAATCAGTTAACCCATATTAGCCTTTCTCAATGAAGAAGGAGTTTCCCTCTTCTCCCTTGTAGGGTAATTCCTAGGTCCCTTTCCGTAAAGCTGAGTTCTCTGGCTTACAAAGCTGGATTTCCAAGTATGTTTTAATAGATGTTTACAATATATATACCCAATTCAAGGAGTGGGATTTCCTGCGGACAGTCATTTCTCTGCATCTGAGCTCTTGGAACTAATTTGAAACCTGTACACAAAGATTTATGAAATTGAGGAATCACATGGTTAGTAAAGTCACCAGAGAGCTTTAAGCCTCCATATCCTGTAGGAAATGTTTAATATCTGGATCCCTTTATCTCTTATTGCGCATGCCTTTATTTTCTGGGTTATTGTTTAAAAATAAATTTTCTAAGTTAGTGATAAAGGTTTTCACATTCACTTAGAGTTCATTTATGTTGTCATTAGCTCTTCTAGGCTTATCTTTCCATTTTCTCAAAATCTTTCACGATTCTCACTCATAAATAGTGCCTAACTCACTGTAGTCTCATAATAAATCTTTGCATATGGAAGAGAGGGAGGGAAAACCCTTGACTTATGATTAACTCAAATAATGGTGGAAAAATCCTCGCTAACAAATTCTTAACTAATCCTGGACTTGTCAAAAGATAATAGCAGATAATTTACTCTCACAAAATGAGATAGCATTTGAGTATTTTCACCAAATCACAGAAGAGTGTTAATCATGTTAAACTACTTTAATATGAGCCCCATCCTGTGCTATCAAAAGCAGCTTCTTAAGACCCACATTGATCAAGAAGAATTCAAGCTGAGAACTTGAACCAGAGCTCAGATCTAGCCTGGACTTTTATCCTGATGACTTTTTATTTTTCTTTCATCTTAAAAATCACATGTATTTGTAAGTAGGCCACTTACTACCAAAACCTGCTACTCTAGGCCTCAGCACTGTGAGATGAAGGATATTTGCTCTTACGTGGGCTTGGAGAGCAAGATCCAAGAAGTTCCTATCTCAGTGGATGAGTTTGCATTCACATTTTCCTGAATAAATCAGAGATCTTTATTTAACAGGTGCTATGTTGTTGGCTCAGGAAATAATTTTCTTACACTTTTAGCCTAATGAAAAACACCGTACCCTATTTTTCTAATATTTGTTACCACCTACTGCGTTATATGCTTCACTTGCGTTATCAGCTGTTTTTTATTTGCCGTAATATGGCATCCAGTTTATACTCACTATAGAATAAAATAAGCCCCTACACTACAGTCACTGAGCATCCCATTTCATCTAGTTACAATGGCACATATGAGTTACTGCATATCAGTGAATTGCCAAAAGCTTTCTGTGATATCCTAGTATTCTCCTAGAAGAAAACTACTCAAAGTATGCCTTTGAACAAGAGGGATATGAAAATGTTCCTGAAGAGAGTGGGTAATGGTTTTTGCAAGTAGAAGTCACTGAAAATAGGTATGGGGAGTGCTTTGTTTTAGTGTGTAATTTAAATCTATTTGCCCTCTCACATTGCAGAAAAATACTTATATCTAACTGGGAAAGAGGTGCTCCACATCCAAGAGCTCTCCTGCATGCTGCTGCCTGAATGGGCAGCAGGGGGCGCTCTGGCAGTACAGAGGGCCAGGTTTCCTGGTTGCCTGTTTTTAATTTTAGAGTTAATGACCTCCGTGCTAATGAACCTTTCCATGTCTCTTTTGCATCCTTTTAGTAGGTAATGATTTACTGCTCCAGCCTGTGATACCAAATTTCATCTATCTTTATTATCTTTCAAGAAAAATTTATTTTCTCACTGATGTAAACCCTTTGCAGGTCTGGTAAATGAAATCAAATTTGAAAAGTTGACATCATCAAGCAAATATATGTATGTCTTAAGGACTTCTAGAATAGCACCTAAAACTTGTTTTAAACTAGATTTCAGTATTTTGTCTTAAAATTTTAATGCCACAATACATCTTTCTCTAGCTCATAGGAGGAAGGAGCAGAGCAATTCATTAATTTATTTTTCCTTGTAGGTGATAGTGACTCATCTTCTTCAGATGTGCTTGGAGGGATGCTTAAAGTGGCAATGTTATCTAAGGATTTCACATTTATACAAACAACATTAACACCTTATTTTGTCCTTTGTAAATGTACTAATTATTTTCCTTTCCAACCCCTCCTATTTAAGTTGTGTGTGAGAGGGGATGTCGATTTTTGTTTTTATCAAAATTTCTTGTTCTGACCAGATACCTTTTTTATGCTGGAATTTCTTTCTTTCCCTTTCATGTGTCCCTTACCATTTCTCCCTTTAAAGATTCCCCACCCTGCTTCGTGATAAATATATGAGAAAGCATATCATGGGTTCCCAGCCACACCAGAGATGGATATGCCCTTCCAAAGATCACAAATCACTTTCACTGTGTACTCTTCTGTCTTTTCTTCTACAGGGTTAGCACTCTTCAGTTATTGCTCAGTAGAGCCACACTCCTCTGAGTGATGCTCCAAAGGCTAGACTGTCCCTACCTCACCTCAGCCTGGAAGGAAACTCGTGCTGGCAGCCACTGCCAGCCAGTGCGACACAACCAGTTCTCCTCTTCCTCTGTGGGATATGGTGCAAATAGACTTCCTCCTCAACTATGCGCACCACCACTAAGGGCCTTCAGAGTTCACACTCCATTTGTTCAAGTATATTCTGATAGACTGTTGTACCTTCTTATCCCACTTATGTGTTATGGCCATGTTTCCCCACATCCCCATTATTCATTTTGGAATGGCAGCTTATCAGCTACTACAGTCCTTAGAAACTATCCAATTCTATCTACATATGCAGTTGTCCTACACAGTCATGGTACCTGACAAATGTACTTGTATGTGTACATGCATGTTTGTGTATAAATTCTATAAATTGTAAAATGTACATTGGAGATAAGAGAGGTCTACCAGGGTTAGGGGAAATTCCAGGAATGACCCTGAGGTACTAATATCTCCTTGTTTGTTCTGCAGGTTTGGCATCACCCACTGCCATAACGCCAGTAATGTCCCCTATTTGCAGTAAAACAAGGGGCACAACACCCATTTCCAAACCCCTGGAAGGTAAGTCACCAAGGTACCCGATATGCCAGGGGCTCTGTGATCAGAAGAGTCCTCAGTGGGTCTCTCTCATTGATGGTTTCTACTTGCCTAGATATTGAAGCCAGACCAGACATGCAGTTAGAATCGGACCTGAAGTTGGACAGGCTGGAAAGCTTTCTGAAAAGGCTGAATAACAAAGGTACATGCCAGAAGCCAGAGGGAAGCTTTGGTTTATATACCTGTAGCACACTGCGATTCGTATTTCAGTGAGTAGCTAAGGAAACATAAAAGAACCTGCTCCTCTCTCAAAACCTCTATGTCCCAATTGTGATGGCTTTCTCCTCAGTTAAATTGTCGTCTTTCTATATGACTGGACCGATTTATTCTGTAAGCATTATCTTTGCTGTTATCTTTTTAAACATTAAGTTACTAGTCAAGCCTGATTGTATTACCAAGCTCTGATCCATTTGATAATGTACTAAATTGGGGATCCCCAATAACATTTCTTATTAAAATCTAAATCTTGGGGTGTCATCCCATCAGAATCTTGATTTAATTTTGCTTTTAACCCTGAAAGCAGATTATTCTACTTATACAAAGTCGACATGATCTTGGGCCTGATTAACCTTAAATTGTATATGTTAATTTCCAGTAAGGTAGTAGCTGATATATCTTATAATCGCAAATAATTTCTAAAAGGAAATTTTGATAAATAATATGTTGAAATAAATATTTCAGTACAAAAATCAATGGAATATACAAAATGAAAGAATAAAATGTAGTAATACCCTTATCTCTTAATTAAAATTTCCTATACTTGAAGCTTATCAAATATTATACTTTGGGAGTCCCTGTCATTGAAACTGAACCCTAATAGGTGGGAAATAATACAAAAGAAAAAAAAAACCACACACAAAAAATCACACACAAAAAAACCCCTTTAAACCAGAAATATAAAAGTGTAATAAGATAACTAACCTGGCAAGGCAAGCAGTGCAACCAGTTCAGCAGTGATCTAGCCCAGGAGTCTAATCCAACTCACCACCTGTTTTTGTAAATTGAGTTTTATTGGAACACAGTCATGGCCACTGTCAAGGTATTGCCTATAGTCACGGTTGCACTACAACAGCAGAGTTGAGTAGTTATTACATAGGCCGTATAGCCTCCCATGTAAAGCCTAAAATGTGTACTTCATGGCCCGTTGCAGAAAAACGTTTTTCTGACCCCTCATACAGAGACTGGGGTACTTCTGCTTCGAGTAGCAAAAGGAATTTAGTGGGCTTGTGTGCAGCAAGGAAAACCCTGTGTCTTCTACATGTCACAATGCAAGCGTTGTTCGCCCTGGAAGTCCTTCCATGAGAAAGCAAGGAAGGCCTAGGAGACATCCACAGGACCCTGGATATCACTATTATGGCTGTCACTATGGAGGGAGGGGGTATAATTGTTAAGATATTGCGAGGTGCAGTTGGAATAATGTTTTTACACAAATTTATGTCGTTTATTTGTTTGTTTATTGATAGTTGGTGGGATGCAAGAAACTGTACTCACTGTCACGGGCAAATCTGTTAAGGAGGTGATGAAGTTGGACGATGACGAAACCTTTGCCAAATTTTACCGCAGCATAGATGATACCGTGCCAAGGAGCCCTGTAGAGCTGGAAGAAGACTTTGATGTTATTTTCGACCCTTATGCCCCCAAGTAAGTTACTGAAATTTCCATCTTTCACCTACTGAGAATGGACTCCTCCATCGGCCTCTACCCAGGATTTTCGTGAGGCTCTTCTCTCTCACTCTGATAAAACTTCATTACAGACAAATTATTACAGTAGTAGTTATCCCCCCCACCCCCCTTTATTCACAGAGGCTATGTTCTAAGATGCCTGAATCTGGAAATCATACCAGACCCTTCATATAGTATTTTTCCCCCTGTATTTCATAAATATAAATACCTTTTCACTTAAAGGAAGCACTATATGGCTTCTCTCTGGCATCTCTGAATTACCATCATCACTACTCTTGTTCTTTGGGGCCATTATTAAGAAAAATAAGGGTGACTTGAACACAAGCACTGTAATACTGTGACAGTCGATCTGATAATCAAGGTGGCTACTAAGTGACTAATAGGCAGGAGCACCTACAAGGTGGATGAGTCATAGGATGGAACAGAACGGCAACAAATGTTACACTGCTATTCAAAATGGCACATAATTTAAAACATGAATTATTTATTACTAGAATTTTCCATTTAATATTTTCATACTGTGGATGACCCTTGGTCGCTAAAACTGTGGAAAGTGAAACCATGGAATGGGAGGAGAGGGGTCCTACTGTATTCTCTGAGCCAGACACATAGTGCTGTGGGTAGATGAAGCATGCATGCCCAGAACCGAAGCACATTCAGGCATGTGCCACAGATATTTGCCCTGTTCCTAAAATGTCTCTGGATTTTTCACATACTCCAATATTATTCTCCATATTATTAGACTAACATCATTTCGTAGAGATTTCTATACTGTCTTTTATTTGATACTGGAGGCCCGGCGCACAAAAATCTGTGCACTCACGGGGATCCCTCAGCCTGGCCTGTGCCCTCTAGCAGGCTGGGACCCCTCAGGGGATGACCACCTGCTGGCTTAAGCCCGCTCCCCAGGATGTCTGGCAGTCAGACATCCCTCTGGCAACCAGGGAGCCCTTGGAGGATATCCACTTGCCAGCAGGGAGCAGGCTTAAGCTGCAGTTGGACATCCTTAGCGCTGCTGAGGAGGCAGGAGAGGCTCCCACCACCACTGCTGTACTGGCATCCATCAGCCTGGCTTGTGGCCGAGCTGAGGGCCGTTTTCAGGCTGGCCACACCCCCCAATGGGAACTGCTCACCCCATGGGGCTGTGGCCAGCCTGGGTGAGGGGCTGATGGCTGTTTGCAGGCTGGGCAAGCCCCCCAGTGGGGACCCTCACCCCATGAAGGTGGGGCCAGCCTGGGTGAGGGACTGAGGGCCATTTTCAGGCTGGCCACGCCCCCCAGCGATCTGAGCTCCCAGCCTCCCCTTTTGTTCTTCTCTTTTCTTGTTTCTGGGATTTATTTATCTTCTATAATTGAAACTTTGTAGCCTTGAGCTGAGCCGAGTGCTGGCCAGGGCAGGCGGGAAACTTGGCTTCCTCTGTCGCCGGGGGCAACCCAAGCCTCCTGCTTGCTCTAGCTCTGTGGCCGCCGCCATGTTAGTTGGGTTAATTTGCATACTCGCTCCTGATTGGCTTGTGGGCGTGGCTTGAGCATAGCGGGGGGGATGGTTAATTTGCATGTTTCTCTTTTATTATATAGGATACCATTCTTACTCATTACTTTAAAAAATATTTGGATCTCATGGGCTCAAATTAATACAACTAACTAAAAAAATCAATAAAGCATGTTACTTACTAGTAATCTACAATCCTGTCTAATCAAAGAGTAATATGCAAATTGACCGTCACTCCAACACACAAGATGGTCGCCCCCATGTGGACACAAAATGGCCGGCACAAGATGGCCAGCACGGGAGGACAGTTGTGGACATTCAGGCCAGCAGG